TTGCATCAAATGGGTCTTCCGAACCTTCCGGACACAGCCTGACAACCATCGGGCCATGTCACATGTGGGAGTAAGTGGGACCTCGCCGCAACAGTTTAGGGCCCGAAATTTCTTTCTACCAGTAATACTCCGATCCCTCTGTCCAAAAAAGCGTAATCATTTCTTGAGTATTCAATCCATTCTAAATTTAATTATGAAATATATATTTTTTATAGTGGATCTATTTGCAGATACAAAAGTTGATATTATTTTCTCTATTTCTGGATAAACTCGAGAATGATTGATTTCTTGAAAAATGATGTTTATATTTTTTTTGGGGATGGAGGGATTATGTTTGTGATGTTTAGCCTATGAGTACAATGCTTCACATGATTATTCAGATATATATACGTATATAGACATGAATGAATTAAAAAAAGGAAAGCTTACCAAATGAGACATAGTTTTCTGTGCAAGCAGGTACTTGAGTCTTGATGTTTTCCATTTAGAAAAATAAAATTGGTTCTTGTCGCGACTAGTATTGCACACTACTAGCTTTTGCTGCAAATTGTTATTAAACGATCGATGGCGTGTGCTAGTGGTGTGCGTGATTATTTTCACGAGAAATGTCCTGCCGTGCTGGTGGTGAGGGCAGAGGCATCAACGACAACGTCGTCGTTGGACCAGTGTGAAGATTCAGGCATACGATCAGGGGCGGACTTAGCGGCGGGGTAGGGGCTTAAGCCCCCCCTCCTACCGCTGCGGAGCCCATAGAGCTCCCCTAAGCCCCACCATGAATTTTCACTATAAATGCACTTTGGTGGTGGGGCTAAGATGTCTGTCCCGACGTAAAAGATGACATTGTCGAAGAGTCGCGCTTGATTCCTACTCAACCTTCTCAGCAAATAAAGTTTAATGGCTGACCCAACTTGTATCTTTTCTTTTTTCCCAGCCCAACACTTGCGTGGACCCTCCTAGAGTCCCCCGCTCGGCCGCTCCCAACCCTATCCCTATCCGATAGTGAGGCAGAGCAGGTGCGTGTGACCGCGAGCTCACGAGCGTTACAGGCGGAGGCGGAGGCAGAGCCGGAGCCAGAGGCGCATGACCTTGTGAGAGTAAGCCATGGAGCCAGCAAGGCGGCACGGCCGTGGTGGCTGGAGACGACACAACGGCTGGAAGTGGCCTGCTCGACGCCTTGAGCCCCTAACCCGGCAACCCCCAAGGGCCGCACGACCACGACAACGACCAGGGCTAGCAGCCAGCCATCCGGCCAGGGGCGCGGCAGCGGCAGCCGGTAGGGGCCGGCGGGGGGCAAGCGGCCAGCAGGATGGCATCCCGACTAGTTATAACCTTTTAAATTTTAAAATTTTCTAAATTGTGAATTTGTGAATGTGATTGATAAAAATTGTATTAGTGATTTGATGAAATATTTGATTAAGGATTGATTGTTTGGATGACAAATTGAGAAGTTGATATTGTTATTTTTGAGAAACTCATAATGTCAAAAAGAATTTTGCACACATATTAATTTATCAAGTTCAAGCAATACTAGCGGTACTCCAACCTCACCAACTAATGAGGGCACAAGCCAACTAAAGAAACCTGGGGCAGAGTTTGGTGACTCGGATGTTATTGGCGATCCAGGAAATCGCAACCAATCTAAGATTATGCACCTAAAGCTAGAGATCAAGTAAAGAGAGCATATGCTTTGAGTGGCCGAACCCCTCTAGTTAAATGTTATCTCTCCTCACAAATGGCAAAGTGGTGAATGGAGATCATTTCAAAAAAAACCCGGTTTGATGAATTTGATTGGTTAGAGTATAGTGTCTCAAAGGACGCAACTTATTGTGTCTTTTGTATAGGTTCCTCATTTTGCTGAAATTTGACTTATGCTGATGCTTATACTGATTTATTGTGAGAGCAAAATATAGTTCGTTCGCTAAAAAGTACGACTGAAGTAGTTAAGCGAACAGAAATGACATCGTCATGCGTTACCTATTGGTTTGGGACTTTGCCCGTTGGGTATGAAAAAATTGCGTCCTATCTTTTCTTATGATGTATTTTATTTTTTATTGACATTTCAATATAAAACCATGGCAAACTATATTACATTTGTCTTATAATGGAGTATAGTAGACTTAAAGCGGTTTAGCGCTATTTTATTCAGCCCCTCCTATATATTTTTCATAGATCCGCCACTGCATACAATTGAACTCAGAGTCCTTGAGGTCATTGTAGGCAGCGAGCTTTGTAATTGATGGCTTCAACGAAATATTTGTGATCAACTGATCATTATTAAAAAAACAAAAATCTTGTGGTGTAACATTTGTTTCTAACAAGTTGTCGCGCCACTTAAAAAATGGAAGGCCTAACGCCCGGACGTCCAGACAGGACGTTGCGTCCAAACATGGCTCCCACACCTGCGCAGCTCCCGCGTCCGCATCTCGCCACCCTAGCACCAGCGCCCTGTTAGTATTTTTTAATGCATACAGAAATAATCCACAAGCGCACAGAATTACCGTTGTGCCATTTCACCTAGAAGTATTCAGGGTATCGTATTTCCATAAGGAACGGAGGTGTAAGAGTCTCTTAAGCTAGTTCACCTAATGATAACAAGAAGAATGATAGCTCGGGTAGCGAGGTTTTCTAAGGATAGAGATCCTAAGCTAAGATAGTTTTGCCACTATATACTTACTTCGGGCACCAAAGCGCACCTGGTCTACCAGGCGATACCGGCTTGTAGCCTACATCGAACCCAAACGTGGGGGAGTACGAAGGACGGACAGGGCTGTCACCACCTGCCGCCTACCCATCAACCATAGGAAACAAGACAAACGAAGATAGCCTCTAGCCTAGACACCATGTCTACGCTATCGACTACTACTCTAGCATCGATCAGGGTTATCCGTCTCTATTAGGGCCCTTTACTAGAGTATTCATCACAAGGACGAACGACGAACCCGCAAGTAAATAATGAACAAGACTAACTTAAAGTAGAACTCACCACCAAAGATAAACATGCACCTTATACCCCAAGTAGTATTCGGAACGTAGAGGTACAAGTAGAGAGGAACCGACGATTCCCGGCATTCCTTCCGCTAATTGTACAAGGGGCCCCAAGTACACAAGTGGAGGTAGCCGACAACTCTGATACTTCTCCACTCTTACTCACTTCCTACACTAGAACTAGCTAGAGAACTAAGATATGAATGGAGCTCTTCTCTTCTTGTCACATTGTGACTCTCTTGTGTTGTGTTGTGGAAGGCCAATTGATGTGTGTGAGAGAGGAGGGTACCCCTCTACTTATACAAGGCTCTAAGGCGGTGCTCTAGCTATTCTTGGCGCGAAGCCCTGGGCTGCACCACCTTAGCATGGAGCCATGTCATCACCTGTCGAAGGTGAGGCTGAGGAGCGCCAACAGGGGGCCAGCCACCCCTAGGACCGGCCACCCCTTGACTGTGCCGCCTCGCCACTGCCTTCGCGTGGCAGGCCATGGGCTGGACATGGTTTACTGCTCCATGGGGGTTTGCCCCGGTTGAATTAATTTGATGGGCGTCTCCTTTGTTCTTTTGCGCAAATTAGCGTCAGAAAGCGTCTTTCAGTGATTTATTTCATGTATTTGTGTTTGTGGCCTGCAAAATAATATTCTTCAAATACATGTGGAACTTGGTTAATAGTAAATGCATATGTGATTAAGATTGCTAATTTCTCTAGTTTTTATGTCGTAATTGGCGGTCGGATTTGGTCGTTAAGGACCGCCAACACGCCCGCGTTCGTCGTAGGACCCGTGCCTTCGCACTCACCCCGCGCCTCACACGGGGAACCCATGTGGTTTGACCCACGTCTGTCCCCCGGCAGCAGCGACAGCCACTGGCCTCGACGTGCAAACACCCCTATCTGCTTTTGAAACATCCAGATGAAACATTTGCAACATACGTCTGAAACAGATGAAACACTTGAAACTGCGCTTAAACACATGCGTGTCTAGACATAGCAACATATGCAACATCCAGATCTACTTTTGCAATGTCTAAATGAAACACTTGCAACATAAGTATGAAACATATGAAACACTCGAAACATACTCTTAAAACATTCAGGTAGAGCCATAGCAACATATGCAACATCCAGATGGAACACTTGAGACATACGTCTAAAACAGCTGAAACACTTGAAACATAGGCTTGCAACATTCGTATATTGTCATTGCAACATATACAGCATCCCAGATCTACTTTTGAAACATCCAGATAAAATGCTCGAAACATAAGTTTAAAACACCTAAAACACTTGAAAAATGGCATCGCCAGCGACCATGGCCTACCTGGTGGGGAACTGTGGTAGGCAGTAAGCTCGGGTCTCCACGGTGGGGGGTGGCGGGGGACACGGCACGGTGGAGGTAGGCATGGCGCGACGGGACACAGGCAAGCGGTGGGTGAAGGGGGGCGGCGGATGAGTGGCCATGCTGCAGCTCGGCCACGAGGTCACGCGCGCAGCCTAGCTCGGTGATGAGCGCCAGGCCTAGGCGGGGGCGCGGGGCAGCGACCGACGGGGTACCTCTCGGGCAGCTCAGCCTCGGCGCTCGGTGTGGCAGCGCTCGTGCTCGAAGTCGTTGCATCGCGGCCTCGGGGATCATGGGATGAGCAGATAAGGTGTGTTTTTTTTTTGTTTTTAGAAGATGGAGCCGCGTGTGGGGGCCACGTTAAGGCGCGGGTCCAGGGACGGACAACCGTGCGTATCATTATGGGAAAAAAATAGTTGCCGCGCCACGAGTACCGCGTGCTTCTTTTGTTTATAATAGCCACGCACTGCCGTCACGACGCAGTGCGCAGCATCAACGTCTCACTCTCACTGATCGCGTCGCATCGAGAGAGAAGTTTGTTTTCTTTTGTTTTTTCGACGTGCTTCTTTTCTGCTGCTCGCTGGTCACTAGTAATAGGCGGTAGAGTGCAATAAATAGGTCACTTTCCAAGCTGCCGGCCACACACAAATTCACCTGGAACCGGAGGTGCCGCACGATCATGGGGTCACTGACGCCGGCGGAAGGCCAGCGGCGGCCGCACGCCGTGTGCGTGCCGTTCCCGACGCAGGGCCACATCACGCCCATGCTCAAGCTGGCCAAGCTCCTCCACGCGCGGGGCTTCCACGTCACCTTCGTCAACAACGAGTTCAACCACCGGCGCCTGCTCCACACGCGCGGGCCCAAGGCGCTCGACGGCGTGCCGGGCTTCCGCTTCGACGCCATCCCCGACGGCCTCCCGCCCTCTGACGCCGACGCCACGCAGGACATCCCCGCGCTCTGCAACGCCACCATGACCAAGTGCCTCCCGCACCTCCTCTCCCTCCTCGCCAGGATCAACGGCGACGCCGAGGCAGAGTCTTCTCCGCCGGTCACCTGCCTCGTCGTGGACGCCATCATGTCGTTCGGCTTCGACGCCGGCAGGGACATCGGCGTGCCCGTCGTCGCGTTCCTCACCATCGGCGCCTGCGGGTACATGGGCATCCGCAACTTCAGCAACCTCATCGAGCTGGGCCTCGTGCCGTTCAAGCACGAGGTGGACCTCGCGGACGTTCGCGGCCGCCGCCTCGCCGCCGTGGTGACCGGCGCGTACGGCATGTGCGACGGCGTGCAGCTGCGGGACTTCCCCAGCTTCGTCCGCACCACGGACCGCGGCGACGTCATGCTCAACTTCCTCCTGCACGAGTCCGAGCGGATATCGCTCGTCCCGGACGCCGTCGTCATCAACACCTTCGAGGACCTCGAGGGCACCACGTTGGACGCCATGCGGGGCGTCCTCCCGCCGGTGTACCCCGTCGTCCCGCTCCTCCTCCGCGAGCGCCACGAGATCTCCACCGGCAGCCCGCTCGCGGGCCTCGGCGCGCTGCAACCTCTGGAAGGAGCAGGACGGCGTCCTGGAGTGGCCCGCCGTCCACGCGCCGCGGTCCGTGGTGTACGTGAACTACGGCAGCATCACTGTGATGACCAACTCGCAGCTGCTCGAGTTCGCCTGGGGTCTGGCCGACAGCGGCTACCCGTTCGTGTAGAACATCCGTCCGGACCTAGTCAGGGGCGACTGCGCCGTGCTGCCGCCGGAGTTCGCGTCCGCCGTCGAGAGCCGCGCGCTGCTGACCACGTGGTGTGCGCAGGAGGCGGTGCTCCAGCACGAGGCGGTCGGGGTGTTCCTCACCCACTCCGGCTGGAACTCGACGCTGGAGAGCCTCTGCGCAGGGGTGCCGATGCTCAGCTGGCCGTTCTTGGCGGAGCAGCAGGCCAACTGCCGGTACAAGCGCACGGAGTGGGGCATCGGGATGGAGATCGGCGGTGAGGTGCGGCCCGACGAGGTGGCGGCCATCTTAAAGGAGGCCATGCACGGGGAGAAGGGGCGGGAGATGCGCCGGCGCGCGGAGGAGTGGAAGGAGAAGGCCGCAAAGGCGGCGCTGCCGGGTGGGCCTGCCGAGACAAACCTTGACAGGGTCATCCACACGGTGCTGCTCTCCAATAACCAGGCAAAAGCTGTCGATGAGTGATTATTATTATTGAAATTACAAGTTTGTGAATGTAAATAAAGACAAAGATTGAATGAATAAAAGATACAAGGAATGAATGATTGTATTGATTGAATAAACAAATGAATATATATACCCGAGGTAAAATAATATCAGAAATATTATACAACACACGTGTGTTTTAGAAAAAGAAAACACATGGATTTTTTTTATCTCTTTTCCTCTCTTTCTCACCGGTGACCGCCGACGCCAGCACCGGTGATCGCCGGCGACGGCGACCGGCGAGCTCGCCCTGGCGCCCGCACCCACGCCCGGCACGCCTTCGCGCGCCCGCGCCGACCATGGCAGTGGCGGTGGTGGCAGTGGCGGCAGCGTCCGCGCCCGCGCCGGCCATGGCAGTGGCGGCGGCGGTTGATCTGTGATTTGTCCTTCCATAGAAAAAAATTTGTAATCTGTGATCTGTGGAAGCTGGAGGTAGAAGAAGGGTTGAGGCTGTTGGATCTTAATCCTATGGTGCAAAAAAAATCATGTGTTAAAACTACATAAAACACATGGTTACGTAGTAGAGAGACTCTTTTTGTTTGTGCAAGGCAATGTATGCAACCAAGATTAACCAAATCAGTGTAACATAACATGAATGGAATCTTCACCCTGAGAAATTCAGATGCAATGCACCTACAAAATAAAACATACACACACAAATATTGGGGAGCGTAAAAATAATGATAGGTTTTTTTAGATACGGCACTAAATAAAAATCAGTGACAGGTGACCCGTCACTGTTAATACCGGGCCTGTTCGGCAGGACTGAAAAATACTGTTCCGGCTGATTGTTGTGAGAGAAAAATACTGTTCTGGCAGGACGTGAACAGTGATTTCGTGAGTGAAGCCAGCCGAACACGCCCACCATTAGTCAGCGTACAACAAAGTCCATAAATTATGAATTGTACGGCCCCTTTGGTATAGGCTCTGTTCGCTTGTTTTTTGAGCCATACTATTTCAGCGAACGAACAATGTTTTTTTCTCACAACAAATCAGCGAACAATACTTTCAGTCATGGCTTTTCAGTAAAGCGAACAGATCATGGCTTTTCAGTAAAGCAAACAGAGCCATAGTTCAGCTGGACTATTTTACTAGTGGAATAATTCTTTTCTTAGGTTCATAGGTTAAGAAGCTTCACTAGCTAACTATTTTATAATAAAATAATTTCTTATAGTAGGTAAAAAGAATAAAATAACCATAAGACCTTTCTTTTTTTCCTTTGTTTTTTCTACTCTCCTGTTTCTTCTCCTTCTCTCTCCATCTTATCTGCTTGGCCGCCTCCCTCCTGTATTCCTCTCTGATCTGCCTCACCCACCACCCTAATAATACACCCAAAGATAAATATCCCTAACACGAAGCCTCAATGCCTTCAACACCAAGTCACACTTAGGCACTACCGTGGCCCTAGCCTTCACAAGTATCCTTGCACCATACACCGATCCAATCATCGGGAACCAAGAAAATAAAGTGGCCTTAGTGCCACTAACCCTTTGTTATAAACCCTACAAAACAAAGTTAACCACATTGCCTTGTATTCATCAACAACTGGAACCCTAAATAGGGGCCTCGATGAGTTCAGTAGGGTATGGATATATTTGTTCATTAGCGATTGTGAGAAGGTAATCCCCGTAGCTATCCATTCATGAGTCCATCCCTTTCTCTATGCCTGATGAGAGACAATGCCAATAGTGCAAGGCTTTTGGTTGACATTGCACTCGCATCTCCAGCCATATCACCATTGCAGAAGCTGGATCATACCTGCTTATTCTAACCATACTTTTACTCTATTTGTACAACTTCTCAAGGAATTGCTTCTAAAAAAAGCTCTACCGCCAATATGGTTCATGTCCCATGAGACGATAAAAGTAGATGGTCGGTGGCATAACTACCTCCGGGGATTACCAAGGGACCATGGTGGTCCGCATAAGAGCAGGTCTGATCATACTATATGAAACTTGTATAATGAGAGGAATCTAAGGATTTCCGAGGCCCAAGCTCAACTAGTGCAGGTGGTGCAAGGCATCAAGGAGGAGATTGTCCAACGCAATAAGGTTTGTTGCAAGCCGGTGGTGGGCTAAAATGTTATGCCACTATACTCAGACTTGGTTATTTACAAATGAAAGGAGCTTACCATTCGACACTTAAAACATCTTCATGAGATCCTTGTTACAATTCCAATCGATAGCGTGGTAATGGGGTTATCCCAATACTAATATTTTGATTATTGGAGGAGGTGTTGCAACGGATCCTCCATACACCCACCTCATTATACACTTGACATATGGGGACCATATGTCAATACACCCACCTCATTATACACCTAACATATGGGGACCATATGTCAATGGGACCGTTTCTTTTATATCTTTTTTATTTTTTTCTCCTCTTTTTTCTCTCTTCTGCCATTCTCCACCATATCTAGGGCACCAACACTTATGCCTGATTGGTTTGGGTCCAAAATTTACCCTGCCAAAACTAGGACTACCAAATTTTGGTTGCCAAAACCTTCGCTAGAATTTTGATATAGCACTTGGTTGAGTGCCAAACTGGTACATTCAAAATTTTGGAGCTTGATTGGTTCGATGCCAAAACAAGAAGCACTTTTTCTCTTTTATGCAGCTTAAGAACTTTCTGGAGGCTTACCAACAGTTTGGCCATAAACATTGATGTGCCAATTCTTTGTCAATGAATTGATGACTAAAAATTTTGGCATGCCATGATTTTGGTTGGGCAAGAATTGGTAGCCAACCAATTAGGCCATTACCCCTACTCTGTTTCCCATGGCCTTCCACCTCCCATCTCTCCTCTCCCACCTCTGCAAGTACAAGCAAGCTACACCGGCAAACATGAGAGGCGAAGGTGGGAGGCAGGAGTGACCGTTGGGGTAGACCCAGCCTATTGAGGAAGATGCAGCTCACACTTTGTTTCAGAGAAGGTAGGTCTAGCCAGGTATAATCTTTCTTTATTTAAGAAGAGGAGATAAGGAAAAGATTGGTGGCCAGGAGCTATTGGGAGACTAGAGCACACAAAAAAAAGACTCACCTCTCCAACATGAGAGTTGGGGATAGGGGGAACAATTGGGTAACAGCTGCTCGCACTTCCAACAACTGCCTTTTCATAATGAACTCTGCAAATCGGTTGCTACAATATAATAGTCTTATAAAAAATAAAAAGGGAGCAGCCAAATTGCACAATATAGGGTGTGTTTGGTTGCCTGGCTTAGGGCCTAGCCAGGCTTCCATAATGCAGTTTCTATGTGTTTGGTTACCTGTATAGTCTCTAAACCAGGCTTGTGGAAGCAAAAAATGGGGAGCCAGCCTACATTGCTGGAAACGCTCAACTCCTACGTTCTATCTAAGCCTAGCTTGTACAAGCCTATGGGCCCACCTGTCAGTGTTCCTCCACCACTTTGCCTTCGCTATAGGTGACCATCCCCACAGCTCCGGCCATCATGATGAAGGGGAGGGTCCACGCGATGGAGGAGAGAGGGTCCACCGACCATCTCCCTCAACACCGGCGACCACCCTCCGGCCAACACCCTTAGCTCCGGCTAGCACGTATCCCCAGCCATGCCACCGGCCCGCGCGAGCAGCCACACCCTGGCCGCACACACATCTCGTGGAGCCATAGAGGAGAGGAAGCCGACCGAGGTGGAGATGCCGGCACCCGGATATCGCGGAGGAAGGCAACCCGATCTCGCCCGATGTTGATCCCCAACAAGAGGAAGCCGCCCGAAGAGCGGTCCTCCATGACGAAGCCAAGCGAGAGGTGGCGCAGCACCACGGCGGCCTCCCTAAGCCCTCGGGCCTCCCTCTGCGACAGCACCACCACCTTGACAACTCCCCTACATGCGCGGCCTCTCCATGATTGGCTCGAAGACTGCCCTGATGACTCCTCTGCACGGCCTCACCAAAACATCCAGGCGACGCCGTGGCCCCCGCGAGGACGAACGACGAGGTGGAGCAGTAGCACACCTACATCTCCATAAGCTTCGGCCAAGATCTAGTTCTGGCAAGTGGAGGGGGAGGTGGCCACAGGTGTAAGGAAAATGGATAATAGGCCCATTTACTTTGAATTTTGGTGTTTGATGACCAACACAACCAAATTGGACTAATGAATTTGCAAGTGATTGTTTTGTAGTCCAATAGGGTGCAAGACGTGACTTGGACGAAGGTGACGTGATGATCCGATGATCAACACCATAAGTAAGACCCTAGAAGCATAAGAGAAGACCCAAGATATCAAGCAAAGTCCAAGCACGAAGATAGGAACCAAGCTGGATGCAAGATCGAGAAGAAACGAGCTCATAGAAGTGACCGGACGCTGGTCTTACAGCGACCGGACGCTCCGATCAAGAGTCTCGGCAGCAGCAGGCGTCAGTAGCAGCGACCAGACACTGAACAATAGAGTCATTGGACGCACCGATGGCATTGTTCGTCATCCCGGCGACACATTCAGCATTGACCGAATGCTGGCGACAAATCGACCAAACGCAGAATAGCAGCGTCCAATCGAGTACAGAGAGGTTCTAGAGCGGCGAAATTGCGACCGGACGCGTCCGGTGGCATGTGACTAGACGCCAGCAGCGTCCGATCAGTTGATCACGGCTCTAACGGTTGGGACGACTGGACGCGTCCGGTCAGGACGAAAGCAGCGTCCAGTCAGTAGCAGAAAAGCAAGATTTCGTCCCCAATGGCTACTTTCTCAGTGGGGCTTATAAATAGACCCCCTCCAACTGGCCAAATGAGATAAGTGGAGCTGAGGAAACATATCAAGGGTGCTAGTAAACCATTTTAGTAATCTCCACATGCATAGTGCTTAGTGATTCATTAGGTGATTAGCGTAGGTGCTTTGTGAAGTGCTTAGGTTGATTAGACCACCGCTTATGCGCTTGCTCTAGGTTTAGGCCTAGTGTTTAATGAGGTTTGTATACCTCTTATCACTCGGTGCTTACACGCATCATTGTTGTACATCGGAGG